AGCAACCCCAGCCACTACATGGGCTGAAGTTAGTCATCAGAGAAGAGGTGTTACCAGCGAATGACCAACCACAGTTCCCGTCGCTTGAGCTTTTGGCTGGCAGAGGCCTATTGGCACCTGACACATGGAAGTGCAAACGTGCTCAAGTCAGCCTCAAAGCAACTATTGATGTCCCCATGTTGGGTACAATCATAGAGCAAAATGGTGACGGACTCCTGGAGGACTCTCACATGCCTGTGGGATGGCCACTCCACATCGATGGCGCTGTCAGACAATGTTGTATTCACAGAGCTGCCAGCTTGCAAGAATTAGATGATATGCTCAAAGAATATGACATGAAAAGGGATTCAGTGGAAATCAACTATGACGCGCCTCAATGGTCCCATCATGCAGTGTGGAACCGAAAGTATATGGAACCAAAACCAGGATATACACTGGAGCAACTATGGGCTGACTCCGAGCCTGCCATAAGCAAGAAAACGACCACGTCATATGATGTGCAAGCAAATGACGTCCAACGCGCCGTAGCGGCCATTCAGCGCTTCCCATCCCCCATTCCTCCCGACAGCCCCTTCCTACGAGCGTTAGGGACACCAGCTGCCCTGAAAGCCCCACCGCAGACTGACACCCTATCTGGAGGAATGGGAACGCACTTTGTGTGAAAACAAGGCGGTGGCAATCCTCGCCGAGATACAAGCCGGCCGACCAACTATAATCCACAAAGATGGTGGCGAAATGCTCATTGCCATTGTCCTTGACAGGCCACTGGCGGAAGCGAAGGAGCTGGTTGATGACCCTGCGGCATTCACTCGCGAAATGACGCGGATCCTGAGTGACAAGCGAACCCACCCGCTCATCGCCCAAATGATGAAACCAGCGGAGAGCAGTGATCCCCCCCCCGCCACTGCTGCCGCCAGTGGTGCTAGTAGCAGTGGCGACCCTCGCACCACCTCACACGAGCAGTTCCAGTAAGCCACATGGGTGACGCAGAATATCCCTGTGTCCCATCCATGCATTCAGCCTGTAAGTTGACCTAGGTTGCGCGGCGTTGTCACCATGGGGTACTCATGGTTGATTACTGCCCGCTGCGACTACCTTTGCCGTTAGCATGCCAATGCCAGTTTGGGACGGGAGGCGGTGGGGGGCGGTTATAATAATCCTCTTCTGGGTTTTTTTAAGGTGTTTTTTGTGTTCGGGTTGATCTACCTTAAATATTGCATGGTAGTGTAGGGCGATGTCAAAGTACATCTAGCCATGGTGCCCGTCGCCGTTTGACCTTCGATCAACCAATCCTTGACCGGCCAATGATCTTCACCACACCACCACATGCCCGTCCTCAACCAAGGTGGCAATACTGTGAACACCAGTTGAATACCCTGAAGCCTTAGTCCACCTACAAACTTGTAGACAACTTTGTCCGTTGTAATGGAGCGACCGACTCCTATCAAAGACGCCGCTGTCCATCGCCTTGCACAGTCCATCACTCAAATGACCCTCTGCCAGGTCACTACCAGTGAAGTCGATGATGCCACCAAACTTCTAGAGAAGGCCCGACAGAAGCTTCAAGGAATCCAAAACATCCCATCCCAGAGGGTGAATGACCTTGAGGCGGCTATACGCCAACTCCGTCAAATTGGCTGTATCTTAGATAGCTGTACCATATCTGCCTGTTACGAAGTAACCCAGGCACAGAAAGCCTTACTACAGCTTCACCATACAGCCAAGGGAGCCAGCACCTCGTCCGAAGAACTTAATGCACAGATATCACCACGCACCGATGACGAGTACAATCTCCCATACCATGAAGACGAGTTGCAAGAGCACTAGCACAATGGTGCCTACCGGAAGCTGCGTCTCACTTTAGTGATGAGCCTTTATAAAACCTTGCTCACAGGTGGTGTGCCACCGTCCTCTTCCTTGCGCGTGCTGCGTCTTCTCCTCCGCGTTCGCGTTTCGAAGTTTCGGGAAGATTGACTTCTGAAACCTCCTTTTTAAACAACTTGAATCTTCTGTGGTTTGAAGTTGTTTTTGAAATTTGCGGTCTTGAACTGTCAACATGTCCAACTTCAGTGTGCTGTGAGTTTTCTCATTTGGAATGTTATGATCAGTCGTTCACCGCGTTTTTAAATTTCAAGGGAGGGTGGGTGGGATAAAAGTTCTCACTACCCGGAGTTTCAAATGGGGGTAGTGAGTTTCGTAGGCTGTTTGCTGGCAATGGATCTCCTGATACATGCTTCTGCTTTTCAGTTGTGCGTCAGGAAGTCTGGAATCAAGTTACCGTGGGAGAGAGAGCCTCTGAACCCAGTTTTTGCAAAGAGGGCTAGGCTGATACAACCACCCGTTTATGTGCCAGTGCTCACAGTGCCAGAGCAGACGGTGGACATCCCACGGGTTGAAACTGAAGGTCAGATCAGATGGTCACGAAAGACCTCTTTGATTCCATGGCCGATTGCTCAAGATCGAGCTCTTGCAAGAGCGCTGGAAGCATGGAGGATCGTCCTCACAGACAATTTGCAGGGATCTATGGTTGGCAGACAAATTGAAGAGGCACTTGCTGGAGACCCTCAGTCACAGTCAGTTGAGAAGATCATTTCAGATGTACTCTCTGGCAAATCAATCTCGACTTTAAGGGCCAGGTCGTCGTCGTTGTTGACTTATGGTCGATGGAGAAAAGGTTTAACTCCAGATGCTTCAATTTTTCCAATCGCGGAAATGCAGGCATATACTTATGTGCGAGAACTCAGGGAACACAATGCACCTCGTACCAGGGCGACACGATTCCTGGAAGCTGTTTCGTTTGCACACCATTTGCTAGGAGCTGATGTTGGGAACACTTTGAGGTCGTCAAGAGTGAAAGGTGCAGCAACAGCCCCTTTAGTCATTCCGAAGAAGAAGACCCCGCTGACCATCTCACAGGTACGTTTTCTGGAGCATGTTGCCATTTCTGGAACAGGACCTGAGGCAGTCTTCTGTGGATACGTGTGCATGATCCTCCACATGAGACTGAGGTGGTCAGATGGGCAGTATTGTCAAACTGAGCCATTTACAGATTTGCACGATGGTAAGGGCTATCTGGAGTGTCAGTTATACCACCACAAGAATGCAGGACGGCAGAAACATGCAAAGAGGCTTTTGCCAGCAGCTTGCAATTTGCCAGGCCTTTCTGGCGTGAACCGGGCTACACCTTGGCTATGGCGTCGACGTGATCAAGGTCTGGTCGCAGGGCCGGGATTGCCGACAATGCCAGCCCCCCTCTCAGGAGGGGGCTGGGCTCAAATACCGCTGGAACCGAGTCAAGCAACGACCTGGTTGCGTGAGCTGTTGAGGGGCTTTGCACCAATGTCGAACCCTATGGATATAGGGACGCATTCCTTGAAGGCGACCTGGCTCAGTATTTTAGCAAAAGCTGGATGCGATGGGGACCTGAGACGATTGGCTGGGTATCACACTGACCCATCTGCGAAGATGGCATTGGAGTACAGCAGAGATGCACAGGCTCCTGTACTGATGGCAATGGATGCAGCAGCAGCTGCGATCGATCCAGGTCTTTTCGATCCAGACTCGTCCAGAGCTAAGCGTTGGCCTCGAAAGGGTTGCAACTCTTTACAAGCTGTCATGCATTTTCTTGCAAACATTGATGCTGAAGAGTTTTGGTATCAGAATCAGAGTTCAGCCTTGGAACCTGACCTGAGTCAGACTGATGAAATACAGGAAGGCATAGACTTCCCTGGACCGCCGTCTGAACCCTACTCTCCTTCTCGTTCTGATGGCAGTCAATCTGGTGTTGAGTCATTTTCTTCCATCAGTGAATTGAGTGAGAAACCACTGCTTGGTAGGGATTTCGTCTCTTCCGACGAGGAGCGCGAGGCAGAAGTGGCCGCACCGATAGTAGGTGAAGAGCTTGCTGTGGCCTTAGAGCGGAACATTGACACTGAAGTGTTTAGACATATCCTCAGCGGTTGTTGCCACATTGCACGAAACACCAACACTGACCCTGATGATGGCGAAGCTATCCAGCTGAAGTGCGGGAAGCTGGCAACTAAGAATTTTGAGAAGGTGCGTTTGGCAGGCAATTTCCTGCCGTATAAATGCTCAAGGTGCTTCACTGGCGGTTGATGTTTCTTGATTTTATTTCAAACTGTTTTTGCATTGCGTGAGTTCTTTGGTCAAAAGTGATTTTGGGCACCACGAGTTTCACTGTTACTTGAGTGCAGCAGTTCAAGGTGCTTGGAACTCAGTTTATGCATGTTCATGTCCATGATGTGTCTCTCATGTCATGTCAAATGTTTACAATGTTGAAACTGGTCATGTCACATGTCGAGAGTTGCATGCCCTGCAAAGTGAACCCCAGAGGGAGCTGCTCCAAGCAACCAGCAGTAGGGAATGCGTCAGGTGCACAGAGCTCAGACAATGACAGTTACAACTAACATTTTGTTGTCTTTCAAGTGTTTCAAACAGTCACCTCGGATTTCAAGTTTGCAGTGCGTGATGTTTTTGATTGCAAAACTCACCATGCACAGAGCCCAAGCTCTAATACCTGGCAGAGCGGCAGTACAGAGCTGGGAGCCTGGAGCTGACAGGACGCCGTCCGCAAAGTGTCACAAAAGAGTGAAACCATTTCAGATCAGTTTGCAAATGATTCAGTGATTTGTCGTGTGAATCTTGTGATTTTCCTTTCCTTTTGAATTCCCGACGAATGAACATGTCACTGAAAGCAGTCATGTCGTGAGTCATGAAATCCACTTGCAAGCCATGACCACAGGGTCATGATGGATCCATGCATGACGTTGCATGGACAGGCTCCAGAACAGAAAGCTGTTACTGGAAAAGGAAAGACCTTATGTGCCTCAATTTTCGTATAACCGTTTATTTCATACTCACTCATTTGCAGCCACAACCGGCGATAGCTGGCCTTTTTAAATTTGTCAGAGGAGACAACAGCAGTTCATTGCCCATCACCGTTTTGCATTTGAGTTTGTAGAGTGGTAGTGGCGACAGCCATGTCCCTAGTCGACAGCACTGCAGTGTTCGAAGCCAGAGCAGCGAGCATTGGTGTCCCTGACGATGTGGTGGCTGCGATGGCATTGAAAGGTTGGGTCAGTCATGGAACCTACGCATTTGCTGTTGCAACTCAACCGGGTGCTGACGAGCAGGCTTTTCTGGATGGGGTCATAATCCCATTGTTGGGTGGGGCAGACCACATTGCTGCACCCAAGCTGCGTAGACTCTTTTTCGAGTCACACACATTGACATCAGCAGAACTTCGTCGCCAAGTTGATTCCACAGAGCAGGAAGCTCCCAGGAAGTTGCCTGCACCAGAGATCTCTCAGCGGATGGAGATGCTTCAGGCTCGAATCAGGCCATTGATTGTGGCTAACTTCATGGAGCCGTCCCATCATCTGATCAATTCATTGGTGCAATGTGTGGAGGATGGCAGGGTCAGGTACATTGAGTGGTCGCGTTGCACTTCTCGAACCCAGGAAGTCAATAACATCAAAGAGGATGGCGACCTGAAGATTTGGAAAACTGACAGCACAGGAACTATCAAGGCCACTACAAAGGAACCATCTATTGTGGCTTCATTGAACACGGAGTTGGACGTCCACAACGCTTTGAGACGTCGAGGGGTTGCCTATGAGATTGCACAGGCAATGACATTTGAGGTGCACGAGGCCATCATCAATTATTTTTTCTTTGAGCTCAAGAAGGATCCTATGGAGGGATTTGGACAGGTGACCCTTCAACAAGTTGCTGCCGCAGATAGGGAATTGCATGTGAGATTAGCAGAGGCTACGAGAGGCGGCTTCAAGACTGGGCCTGCTGGTGAGCTTCCGCTGGACATCCATGTGAAACGGATTTTGGACGGACCTGAGCTCAAATGGATGCTCATGCCATTGCCAAAAAGAGCTGCAGGAAAGCCCACAACAGACGGTCCATCCAAGTCCTCGAACGATGCAGAATCGAAACGGAACAAAGCAGAGCCGAATAAGACAAAGCAGGACTCGTTGAAGCTAAAGCGGCTGAAACGAACACCCATGCCCAAGAAGTTGGTCGGTTGTGTTCCTTGCAATGACGAAGGTCAGCCTCTGTGTTTTGCGTTCAACCTTGGGACATGTGCTAGCAGTTCAGATTGCCCGAAGGGGCTCCACATGTGTTGCAAGAAAGGCTGCAACAAACGACATGCGTTTGTGGTTGCGCACAAGCAAGGGGCTTGACTATCAAGTGAGCTGATGGCAAGCCCACCTAAGGCTTGCATAAATGAAGAAGTTCAACCGGTGGCTGCGTCACGAAAGCGTGGCACAGCCGCTGTCAAAGTGGACGACAGTCGTCCCAGTGAACCGGTGGCAAAGCGAAAGCGCTTAGTCACGGGTTGCCCAGTTGCAGAAGTGCACAGCGTTGTTAGTGGTGTTGGTGACAAAGAGTCAACACAATCACCTCCGAAGGAGCATGAGAATTTTGCAGAAGCAGGTTTAAAAGATGCAGAAGTGCAGTCTGGAAAACAGCTTTTTCTCTTAGATTTATTTTGCGGTACAGCAGGTGGGACAGCAGCTTTTAGAGCGTGTGGTGGTGATGCACTTGGCATAGATCACATCATTGACAAGCGGAGAGTCAAAGGCCCTGTCTCAAAGGTCGATTTGACGAAGAAGGATGGCCAGGAAACCATAATGGGATGGATATCAGCTGGAAGGGTGGACGCTGTTATGCTTGCCCCTCCTTGCGGCACAGCGTCGCGAGCCAGAGAAATACCGATACCAAAAAGACATCGCCTGCGTAAAGGCATGCAACCAGCCCCCTTGCGGTCAGAGCAGTTTCCAATGGGGTTGCCAAATTTGAGAGGCGTAGCCAAGCTCAAAGTCCAGGCTGCAAACCGCTTATACTCATTTGCAAGACGGGTCATTGATTTGTGCGTGGCAATGAACATCCCTGTCATTTGTGAGAACCCACGCCGGTCTTTGATGTGGAACACCGATTATTTCAATGACTTGCCGTCAGTTTGCCGTTTCCAACATGTGCACTCCTGTATGTACGGCGGCAAACGGAAGAAGCGGACTTCATTTCTTTTGAATTTTCATGCACAAAATTTGTTACTGGAATGCGATGATAAGCATCAACATTTGCCTTGGGGCCTTGTACAAGATAATGCGTTTTCTGAGATCAAGTTTTCGACCAGTCTCGAAACTGAATACCCTTCGGGACTTTGCAAGCAACTGGCATCAGCTTTTGTGGATAGGTTGTTACAGCAAGGCAAAGATATTGCCCAAACACCACTCCAAATGGAACAAGCCCAGCGCATGGGCTCAGGCTTGCAGCCGCGTGGAGGTCGTGCACCACTTTTGTTGAGTGACTTCAAGTTCAAGATTGACGTGACCTCTGAGGATGTGGACATTCCTTCCCACATAAGTGAATCAGTGCACCCTCCATTCCAGGGCATTCCTATCCATTCAAAGCTGATTTCTTCTCGATTAGTTTCTGAAGTGGGGGATGAGGGCGAGAAGAGAACACGTGTGGTCTCGACCTTTGGAGTTTTCAGGTCTCCTTTCGAATTCCTGCACAGAGCAATGACCCTTGAACATCCGCTTGACACTCCCCACAATGTGGACAAATGCAATTTGAAAGCAATTTTATTTATAAGAGACCACAGTGCGTCAGAGGTTGTACAGTTCAGAGCAAAGCAACTCAAGAAGTACATGTCACGAGCCGCTCAAATGAGCGAGGAAGAATTTCGGTTCAAGGAGACGCTGGATGTGGACGTAAGACGAGTTTTGGAAGGGAAGAGACTTTTACTTTTTAAGGAGATGGCCGCTGACGCCAATGTGGGCGATGAGACTCTTTTTCAGGAGTTAACGGAAGGTTTCAGGTTGACTGGTGAGATGCCCCAGTCAAAACAATTTCCTGCGAAGTTGAAACCTGCGATGATCTCAGTTCAACAACTCAGAGAGTCTTCCGTTTGGGCAAAGAAGATGATCCACTCCTCTTGCCGTAGGGTCGGTTCAGATCCTGAGATTGCGAAGGCTGTGTTTGAAGAGACGCAACAGCAACTGAAGGATGGGTGGGTACGTGGTCCTTTCTCGGCCACGGATTTGGATTTGAAATATAATGGTTGTTGGGTGCCTTCAAAACGTTTCGGAGTACGCCAGGGAGGAAAAATTAGAGCAGTTGATGATTTTTCTGAATTTTTGATCAACGCCTCGGTCACCTCTACAGAGAAACTTCAGTTGTTTGGCTTAGACGAGGTCGTCAACACTGCAAGAACTTTTATTGGATGTGATTTTCTTATGGCGGATGACCTCTTGGAAAATTTGTGGTGTGACCCGGCCGTACGTTTCTTCAAAGGTCCCTGGACGGACATCATGGGAAGGGCGCTAGATTTGAAGAGCGCCTACAAGCAATTAGCAAGGCATCCCGATGACAGTTGGGCATCGATTTTGGCAGTTTGGAATTTTGAGACTTCAATGGTGGAATACTACGAATCATGTGCGCTGCCTTTTGGTTCAATATGTGCGGTCATGGCATTTAACCGCATGGCACGTGCCCTCAGACTGATTTTATCTGAGCTTTTCTGCGTAGTCAACACAAATTTCTTTGATGATTTTTGTCAACTGGAAAGGAGTGATTTGTGCGATTCAGCATGGCAGTCTGCAGAGTTGGTTATGCGCCTTTTGGGATGGAGGATTTCAATGTCTGAAGACAAACGTGGCCCCTTTGCGAAGGAGTTCAACCTTCTTGGTGCTGTGATTGATTTGTCAGGCGCCACGCAAGGAATGGTATCGGTACACAACAAGCCTTCCAGGATTTCTGACCTGCAAGAATTGGTCAACAGCATTTGCAACAGCCAGACAGTGGCGATATCGACTCTTGAGACCCTCAAGGGTCGTCTCTTGTATGCCGCAGGGCATACATTTGGAAGATGTACTCAATTGGCAATTCAACTGATATCTCGGGTGGCTCGTAGAGGTCCTTTGGTACTCCTTGACGAACAGCTTAAACATGTCATTGTGAGAGCAATGCACTGCTTAGTTAACTCGAAGCCAAGACAGGTGGAAGCTTGGTCCGGAAGGGTCCCCATCATTTTATTCACAGATGGTGCCTGCGAGAATGAGGGCGCTCTGGTAACACACGGTGCAGTGTTGTTTGACCCTGAATCGAATTTGGCGCTCATGTTTGGTGATGAGATCCCCCATGAATGGACTTCGAAATGGAAGTCTGAGGGACGAAAACAGTTGATTTGTCAAGCTGAGCTCTTCCCGGTGATCATCGCGAAGAATACTTAGAAAGATTTTTTGAAGGGACGTTCAATCCTTTGGTTCATCGATAACAACTCTTCTCTTGCGGCGATCATCAGATCGTACTCTCCAGTACTCGACAACTTTGAGATGCTTGTGATTAATGCTCGATTGGATACAGAACTTCAGTGCCTACATTGGTACTCCAGAGTACCATCCCGATCCAATCTTAGTGACGACCCGTCACGACTTGTTTTCAAGGAACTTGAAAGTCAAGGCTTCAAAAGATGCACACCATGTTACAATCTCACGAGCGGGTGAAATGGGGTGGCAAGGCGTGAGATATAAAGATGTCTTACGCATAACACGAAAGCGTGCCGACTCCCCAATTACCTAAAGGTGAGAGAAAAAGTTACAGTGTGAATTTTTCAAGAAGTCAGCCGTGCAATCACTTTCACGATGTGCATTCCTCCGTGTCGAATTCATGTTGTTTATTTTGATATATATATATATATGTATACTTACTTGAGTGTTTATATATATATATTTTAAGTTTAAGTTTTTGTTTTGTAAGCAACGCGCAACCAGGGACGCGAGCGTAAAGGTAGAGGTGAGCTTTGGTTTGATAAGCTGCGTCTCACTTTAGTGATGAGCCTTTATAAAACCTTGCTCACAGGTGGTGTGCCACCGTCCTCTTCCTTGCGCGTGCTGCGTCTTCTCCTCCGCGTTCGCGTTTCGAAGTTTCGGGAAGATTGACTTCTGAAACCTCCTTTTTAAACAACTTGAATCTTCTGTGGTTTGAAGTTGTTTTTGAAATTTGCGGTTTTGAACTGTCAACATGTCCAACTTCAGTGTGCTGTGAGTTTTCTCATTTGGAATGTTATGATCAGTCGTTCACCGCGTTTTTAAATTTCAAGGGAGGGTGGGTGGGATAAAAGTTCTCACTACCCGGAGTTTCAACCCGCCCTCCCAACCCTCTCCGGGCGTGAGATATAAAGATGTCTTACGCATAACACGAAAGCGTGCCGACTCCCCAATTACCTAAAGGTGAGAGAAAAAGTTACAGTGTGAATTTTTCAAGAAGTCAGCCGTGCAATCACTTTCACGATGTGCATTCCTCCGTGTCGAATTCACGTTGTTTATTTTGATATATATATATATATGTATACTTACTTGAGTGTTTGTATATATATATATATATTTTAAGTTTAAGTTTTTGTTTTGTAAGCAACGCGCAACCAGGGACGCGAGCGTAAAGGTAGAGGTGAGCTTTGGTTTGATAACCAATTTTGATGCAGTATGATGATTGGAAAAGCAGATCTGAGCGGACTCTGAGTGTGCCCTGAGTGCCGTAGCCTCGACGTCCTTTTCACCTTAGATCATGGTTCACTCTCATGTTTCACTGCGGTAGTTTTGTCTCACCACTTTGTTGTGACCCGGCGTCGTCGGTGTTTGCTTCAAAGTGCCAGGGTGAATGTCATGCCGTGAAGGCTGCTCTTTGTGATCTCGGGGATCCTGGCTGGGGGGATCCCTGGTTTCCGCATTGAGCTTTGTTGCTTTTTGCACCCGTCAAGTGGCCCATGGTGTTTTTGTGGCTTTTTCGTTGTTGTCTTGTATTATGGGCCTGCGTCACATGACACATAAGTTGTCATCTGCATGCGCTGAGATGATACTAAGCTATCACCTCTTGCCTCAACAGTTCTTTTTCACCCATAACTGGAACCTGTCACGTCACTGCTGTGTGGTTGTGTGTTTTTGTGTGTTTTTGTGTGGTTTGCTTTTGCTTGTGTTTTGTGTTTTGTGTTGTTTTTGCTTTTGGTTCTTTGTGTTTCGGTTCTTGTTCTTCGAACGTGACAAGGTAATAGGACTATGTATCGGTCCTCTACCAGTGGACTTTTGCGGCCCTACAGCTTGGCCCCTGCGTGAATTAGTTAATTAATCCCACATGCAACATGATTGGAAACATGTTGAACGACCTGGCGGAAGCCATACGGCGTTGGACGGAAAAAAACTGGCATAATCAACTTCATCACTCCATGTTCGCAATACCCAGGTGACAAATAAACTGACTGCTGAACAGAAAACTGGCAATAACCACGACATCGGGGCGCTGTTGTCTGCAGACGGATCTCTTCCAGGCCAAAGGCATTCGTCTGCACTGTCGAGACAATCAGGTCCCTGGTTCGCTCCATCTGCCAGCTGCAGGCCCACTAGGCATAAAATAGCCCAGTGTGGCCAGCTGAAGCGGTGTCCAACTGGTCGATTTGTGAAAGTGTAACTATGGCAACAAACACAGTCCATGTAAATGACTTTCTCCACAACACTGTTATGCGGAAAAGGAAAAGGAAAGGCTGCTGCAAGGTGACCCAACGATGTCAGGAAAATTTCACCTCTGAGTTCCCACAGGGCCCAAAAACTCCCTGAGTGTGGACGTACAAACTGACTGCACGTTGCGTGAATGTCAAACCAGTGCCTGAAAATGGCAGCCCAGCAAGTGGTCCCGCACTCGCAGACAGTCCTGCAAAGACCCCAAACTGCAAAATCCCCAGAGTCTGTTGGCCAGGACGAGTCGACGTTGGGATCCATTGAAGAAAACTCTTCACAGTCTGTATCTTGCGGAAAATGCGACGGTTCACCTTCTCTGTTGTTGGAAGGCTCAGGGATGACCTCGATGGTGTTACGGCAGATCACGACCGTTTGGCCGAGCAGGTTGGATGGCAGCACGTCGGGATCGTACGCCTTGGAGGCTTTAACCCCTATCAGAGCTTATCAATCCAGCAGAGACAACAGGTTTTCGCCCGAGAAAGACGAAACATGATGGCCTACCGTTCGACGGGCCCGAGCGGGTTTATGACGACGGTTCTTCACCAAGACAGGTTGTTGGGCTTGCAAAGTGACTTCAATGTAGTTGGAGGAGTTGGTGCGAGGTTGGACTACCCAAGGGGGGAGGCGAGTGCAGACACCCATCTTCTCATCGAATTTAACGATGTAGGGGACGGGTCCTCATTGCCTCAAGATGTTCTTTGGGCGATCGCACGCAACAAACTACAGATAGAGCTGTACAACTGCCTGGTGAGGGAAGACTTTGTCAGAGCGCGCTTGTTCCAGCAGGCACTGCTATTCTTCATAGACGTCTCCCATCAAGATAGACTTCTAAATCGACATGATCAAGTTCGACTATTTACATACCTGGGGGACCACCTCGAGAGCATGTCCGATGGGCTCCGGGGAGAAGATGAAGCTCGAGCCAACTACTACGGAGCCCTAGCTGGAAGGTTTCGTAGGGTGGCATCAGTGCACTGAACCTGAAGGTCATGGGGGACGCGGTCAAAGATCACTGTGATCCTGTTTGTCGACAATACATTGACCAGAGTGAACAGCTGAGGATTCCCGGTCTTGTCGCGTTGCAAAGCTGTAATGTAAGCTGTGTTAGTGTTTATGGAAATAAGTTTCGGTTGTATGTGTCAAGAACGGGCGCAAAGTAGCATATGCCTATTCTGTTTCTTACACATCATGCACCTCATGACTTGCGGTGATGTCAAACAAACTGGACAGAACTGAGTTGTCTTGAGGTTTTCGGTGGGCCCCTTATGTGACAAAGGGAGATACTTGCCGAATGACTATCACTGAATGCTGATTCAATTCCATGTTGGACCAAGTTCCGGATAAGCATGCAGCCGGAATTTTGATGTTCACTTTTCATTCAGGTTCAAGTTTCCGACAATCACGAAGTCAGGAAGTGAACATTCGTTTTCCTCAAAAACAATCCTCTGACAATCAGGCAGTCAGAAATTGGATGTTTTGATGTGGCAACAACTGCGTAGTTCACAGTCAGGTTGATTTCTCCGACAATCATGATGTCACGAACCTGGAAGCCCACTTTCTTTTCATGTCACAGTTTCTGACAAACATGCTGTCAGAATTAATACTTGGGTTTTGCAAAACCCACAATTTCAGGTCTCTGCGTTCTGCGGTGTTTGATTGCCACGAGTCGCAAATTTACAGGGAGACCGCCACCTTTGTCGACCCATCCAAGTGGCAGGTATTGGGGTAAACCTCCGGCTTTGGTACCACCGGGACACAAAGGCAAAGGAAAAGGTGGCCGTATTGTCCTCTCAGCACCAGAGGAGTCTATTTGTGACACCATCGACCACAGCAATTTGCGGGGAATTTTGAGAGACCTTTGCTACTGGCAGAGCCACGTCACGACAGTGGAAGAGCTTGCTGGCAAAGTGACGTCTGCCGATTGGTACCCTTTGCTGTTGGGCAAACTTGCTGAGTCGGTCATCGTAATATCAGGTGCCCCCAATGTCGGCAAATCCAGCCTAGCAGTTCACCTGGCCAAGACCTTGGGTTTGATGCGGACAAAGACTACGAGCAGAAATTTCTGGCTGTTTGCTCGTAGTGAAAGACCGTATTTTTCCCTCTGGGTGTATTGCACCGATTCTTTCTGGAGTGAGCAGGAGCCATCTTGGCCTAGGATGAGACAATCTGTATCATCCATCACTTCAAGCGAAGAATTCGGCACTGGAGCAGCCATCCTCGAAGGTCACAGGATTTTTGCTTTTCCGGGCTATGCCGACTTGGCCACCACTGTTGTTTACCTGGCTGCTACCGACAAACTTTTGTTTGAGCGAGGAACAGAAGCAGGGTCAATTCGGAAGCACAAGCTTTTCTTGTCGAACGCACTAGACCAACTCCAAAAGCTCAACAAGATGATTGTTCTGGAAGGCGAAAAGTCGCAGGTCTATTTGGTGTGCCAGACCTTACAAATCGCCCTCCTAGAGGACGCGAATCTGGACGCATCACATCTGTCGGCGGACATTGAACTAGACGGCAGGTGGACATTCTAAGCTGTCTATGTTTACAAGCAGGCCGAGCAAGTTATAGCCGACTCGGGATATTTGGTTTTGCTTGACAACGAGACAACGTTCCTGATTTCCTTCAATTTTTTGTACAATTCAGGTTTCACAATGTGCTGGCCTTTTTGGCTTTTATTCAATTTTTCTGGGACGTGGCAATGCAGTGTATCACTCAGGCAGGCACAAGCCTCAAAGCAGGACAATCATGTAGTCCAGAGAAAGTTTGCCTCCAACCGTCATTTTGTTCGGGGGTCAGTCGGGACGCCTGAAGGCAATTCAAGCATCTCAGGCAACCATGGGATCCAATGTCGGGCACCATCACTTGGATCTAAGATCCTGAAAGCATCTAGCATTTCAGAAACCAATGGGTTCATTGACTCACGCCTGTAAATTTGGGATCTGGACCCTTGATGGCCACCATCACTTGGATCTAAGATCCTGAAAGCATCTAGCATTTCAGAAACCAATGGGTTCATTGACTCACGCCTGTAAATTTGGGATCTGGACCCTTGATGGCTTCTTAATGCCAACTTTGTTCGCAATGTGAAATTTGGGATTACTCAAATCATCGTTTGCATGGTTTGCGGTTGAATTTTTGAACCCGATCGTTTCCTGGGCCAAATCACCGAAGTGAAATTCACCTCTCACTAAAGGACGGGTAACACGTTTGAGAAGGCGGGTTTGCAACTTGCTAGGACACTCAATCTTGTGGAACCCCGTGGAATACAGAGACCAGTCTCTAACGACAGGTTCCATGTTTTGTTGCCTGTTTTTTGAAGTTCCACGTTTTGTTGACCAGCTTTGTATTCAACAGTTTTTGATTGACAGGCGATTCAAGTGTCACACCGTAACTCAAAGATACCCCGTATTCCGGAGTGGCCCTGGGGTAACGTT